CAAATTCCCTTGAATTTACTCAAAATCATCTCATGCAACTTTGTTAAGTTGGATTGGAATACATTAAAGCCTTGAAACTAGTTTCCATGCTCCACATTGCACTTTGACCTATTGAAGCCCAAATTGACCAAAGTGAGAAAACTTGAGATTTAACACAAAAATTTTCAATAAAGCTCAATTTTAATAAAAACTATTAATTTCACTCAAATTAAGGGAGAATAAAGAAATCAAAAGAATTTAGGCATTTTGTATCCCATTTTAGCTTAAAGTAGTGAAAAATACTTGATAAATCCAATAAAATTGAGCACAAAAGTATAATATAAATTGGATTTATCAATGTGTTCTGTTGTGAGTTGATATTCTGATTATGGTTCCGATTCTAATGTGATATGTGATTCCGTTGACATGATACGCTTTGTCGTAAGATGTGATTTCTTATATGAGAAGATACTCCCACATGACTAAATTAGTAAATTGTGCTTTGAGAACATGAGACATATTTTTATGGCTTATTTGATAATTTGACTAAGCTATTCACTATATACCATACGTATGGTTCTGGCATGCTTTACGATACTTATCCTAGTATAACTAGAGTTTGTATTATTATTCACTGGATTTCCTGACTCATCCTTTTATATTTTTCAGATCGTAACGAGGGTTCACATTTTTGACCAAGTTGTCCGTTCCCTGCCAAGTCGAAATTGATGTACGGCTTGATGTTCCATTTGTTCTGTACTTGTATTTTAGAGTTGCTCTAGTTATTTCTCAAACATGGTTATGATGTATTTAAGATATTATTGTAACGACCCGAGACTACTAGCCTAGCAACTTGTTAAGTCTAAACCACCGGCTCAAAATGCTTAAGCCTAAGTTGTTCAGTAGTAGTCTTTAGTCTCTTATATACCCAACATCTCTCCCGTGTTTTATCGATGTGAGATTTGCCTAAGGGTGTCACACACACACAACCTCCCTTTGAGGTGTCACACATACACCCCCCTCTTTGGGACTCAACGAGGACTCCCCCCCTTTGGAGTGTCACATACACCATCCCTTTGGGACTTAGCGTCCTCGCTGAGATTTGCCCCACCATCGTTCAAGGTTGCACGCGGAGTGGCTCTAATACCATTTCTGTAACTACCCGAGATTACTAGCCCTAACAACTTGTTGAGCCTGAACCACCAGTCCAAAATGCTTAAACCCAAGTTGTTCAGTAGTAGTCTCTAGTCTCTTATATATCCAACATCTCTCTCGTGTTTTGTCGATGTGGGATTTGCCTAAGAGTGTCACACACACACAACCCCCCTTTGGGGTGTCATACATATACCTCCCCTCTTTGGGACTAGCGAGGACTCCCCCTCTTTGGGGTGTCACAATTATGCTATTTAGTATTTTTGGGTTTGTATTTTGTTTCGGATTAGAGGCTTACTAGAGTTGAAGTGCTAACCTTAGTACCAGTCACATGCCCGGGTTTGGGGTGTGACAATGAGTCAAAATTTCCATTTGTTTCAGCAATAGGAGGTTTGATGTATACTTTAATAAGTACTAGACTTGATCTTGCATATGCCGTGAGAATTCTCAGTCGATTTCAATCTAATCTAAGAAAGAATCATTGAGAAGTAATAAAGAGAGTTTTTCGCTATTTGAAGTGAACCAAAGCATATATGTTGTCTTATTAGGCTAAGGAGTTGCAATTAATTGGTTATTCTAACTTTGACTTTCAAGGTTGTGTTGATACGAGAAAATATACTTCCGGTTTTATTTTCATGTTTGGAAGTAGAGCAATATCTTGGAAAAATAAGAAATAAGACTATGTGGTAGAGTCTACTATGGAAGCTGAGTATATAGCAATTAATCTTGCTACAAAGAAAGCTGTGTATCTTAAAAAAATTTTAAGGGGTCTTTTAGTTATATCTTATGTGGAATGACCTATATTACTTTTTTATGATAACACTTTAGCAATTGCTATTACCAAAGATCCTAAATGTCATTCCAAAGCAAAGCATATTAAAGGAAAGTATCATTATGCAATTGCTATTACCAAAGATTCTAATTGTCATTCCAAAGCAAAGCATATTAAAGGAAAGTATCATTGCATTAGATATATGATCAAAAAGTAAGTAGTTATTATTCAAAAGGTGTCTTCGAAGGACAATTTTGTAGATCATTTTACCAAGCATCTTCCTGTTATTGTATGTAATAATCATGTCCAAAATTTGGGTTTATCCCTTTGATGATGTATTACAATGATAAAGTTAATAAATGTCTTTGTCTTTTCTTCAATGGAAGTTTTGATTATTATATAATGACTAGTTAGTTTTATTATTGGTGAATACTTACAGGTTTTGTCTTAAAATTTAACTTCTCTATTAGGTATATTTAAGAGTATACACAGATGGGTCTCAACAGAGGATAGAGTTAAATCTTAACTTGCTCAGGCCTAGAGAATGTTTAGAGGCACATTTCCTGAGTGCTAATACTCAAACTAGCAGGAAACTTTACCTAAAGTTTCTAGGTTTTGAGTATGCTATGAACAATGAATCTTTCTTGTACTTTTATCTTTTACGAATAGTCAACTTGTGATCTTTGTTTTTAAAACCAAGTGAGAGATTGTTGGTTTTTTAATGTGGTTTCAAATATATTAATTATTATTATTTTTATTTTAAAATAAAAATAAAAAGAAAATTAAAGGGTCACAAATTGATTATTTTGGACTGCATGTGAACATGAGATACAATATAATAGTACAATGAACTTGTGGCTAGAAAGTTCATGTATGAAAGGGTGGTATTCAAGGTATATCAATCTAATTGATAGATATATGTGACATTTGAGTTGATTCATTAATCTAATTAATGAATTTATTGTAACTATTGAGTTTTATGACTCTTGATATGGCACAAGATGCTTATAAATATTATCAAAATCCTAAAAGTGAGATATGCTATGAAAAACCCCGCTTGATTGAAGTGAAGGGAGTAAGCAAATCATTTGTAAAAAATCTTTTATTCTAATATAGTGTATATTGAAATAATTTAAATAGATATTTGAATGACCATTGAAAAAGGACTATGACTTGGTGCTAGAGAAGTAAAAAGAGTTAAATATTTGCTGAACTATTGGGTATAATTTACATACAATTATATTTTGATAAAATAAATTTTATGAAATTGATATATTATTTCGAACAAGAAGAACATGATTTTCGGTGAGTCATACGTCAAACAAATTGTCTCCCTCCATCCAAAGGAAGAAAAGCAACAAAAGCTCTATACAAGCGCGAGGCACAAAGAGGAGTGTGGGGGTTCAATGACGAGTACGTGTGGTACAATTCGCACATATGTGAAAAAAGAAAAAGGGCATGTGAGGCTAGCTGTTTTGGGCGAAATAGGCCAGTCATGGGGCAAAAAAAATTGAGGCTCGAACTCCTACGCAATGTTTTAAAAACTAGACCGGTGATAGAACCAATAGTCTTACTAGTTACAGGTTCGACTAATTGAATCGATTAAATCACTAGTTCAACTAGTATGACGTCATAAAAATCGGCATGTGAGGCTAGTTGTTTCAAGTGAAATAGGCTAGTCACAGGGCAAAAAATAAAAATAAAAAAAATTGAGGCTTGGGCTCATACGCAATGTTTTAAAAATCAGACCAGTGATAGAATCGATAGTCTTACTAGTTACAAGTTCGGCCAATTGAACCGGTTAAATCACTGGTTCAACCGATATGATATTATAAAATATATTTAATATAAATATATAATTATATTTTTTATTTACTTTTCAAATAAATTAATAGTATGATTTGTTTTTCTCTTCAAACTTGAGAAATCATATGAATTATAACAGTTTAAAATATTATAATTTTAAACTAATAAGCTAGTTTTTCTGACTTTTAACCAAATTTGACCAGTTCAAATGTCAAACAGTTTTTTTAATCTAACTAGCTCGAAAAGACTACCAGCTCTCAGTTCAACTGGTTGAACTAGCCGATTCAGTCCAATATTCAAAACACTGCTCCTACGTGACCATGTTTGAAACATATGCCCCAAAGTCTTCATTCCCAATATATATATATATATATATGTTTTGAGTGTTAATTTTAATCTTTATTTTTGTATATATCAAATAATATTATACCCATTTTTATACTAGTATACTTATTTAAGCATAATTATTTTTTAAAAAAATTAATAAAATAAAATAGTCCATGACCAAAAAAATAACTAAAATATTCAAATTACATACAAGTACTCTTTTCAAATCAAATAAATTTTAATATAAGAGGTATTATGGATAGAATTTTTATTATTTAAATATATTTTTAACATATAAATATACATGATATGTTATACCGGATAGTAGACCACTTAAATATTATAAAATAAAAAGAAAATCTCCTAAGAATTTTCAAACACATACCCATACAAGTTTTCGACCGAATAAAATTTACGGTAGCCGTTGCTTACGGGTAAAATTGGCATCCCCTCGTTCCCAAGAAAAGGTGAAAAGAAATAGGAAGAGAACAATATAAAAAGGAAAGCCGAGAGCGGGAAAGTCAGAGTCCTTTTCGATTCGCAAGTCGTCCCTTTGTGTTCGTCCGCAATTTTACGCGTGTTACTGGGTGTCCAATCTCCGTGCAAGCTTGAAGTTCCGAACCCAGACCCATCAACTCTCAGTGCTAAGACCACAGGTTGCCACTTCGCTGATTTTTCTATGTTCTTTCTTGATCTGTTAGTGTTTCTAGTTCAGCTGCTTTCTCTTTCTTATTTTCGTGCTATTGGATTCGTATTGCGTATATCTCATTGGTTTTCTGATTCTCTGCGTAGAGAAGATAGTTGCTGCCCGCGTTTGTGACGCACTGAACGGTGTATTTAGTTTTCTTTCTACTTTTAATTCCTTTATCCTGCTTTGAGATATCTTTAATTCCAGTGTAATGGTCTCTTAATATCAGTATAGTTCAGCATTCACGGCACATCTTCGAGGAAGGATTGACCAAACATGGAAATGCAGGCCAGCAAAAATCCTGCAATTGGTATGTGAAAGTATTGCTAGCACTTATTCTTTAAAAATACATAAAAGAAATTTTTCCCAACAAATATTAAATTTGTAACACTTATCTTCTTATAAACAGAAAAAAAAAAGATTTTTCTCCTGTAAATATTAAATTTATAGCACTTACACCCCTAGAAATACATAAAAGAAACTTTCTCTCTGCAGATATTAAATTTATATCAGTTATCCCTAGTCAATATTTAAGTAAAATATTTATTAAAAATTTTATTTTTAAAAAATATAAATATCATTTCAACTATAAATGTTGATGAATATTTTCCATAATTAAAGAGTTATGAAATTTCAACATTTACAATCATTATTTATACTTAAAAAATATTTATACTCTTTATAAGTTAAATTTTTTTATTAATATTTTAAAATAAAAAATTTAAATAATTTTGAGTTGTAGAAAAATTAATAATTTATTTTGCAATGTGACATTTTTATTCTTTTCTTTTTTAAATTATAAACAATAACCATAGATGTTGAAAAGAGAAAAATAATCAGCATTTATAATTAGAATAATATTTATATTTTCTAAAAATAGAATTTTTAATAAATATTTTACTTAAATATGGATTAAGAGGTAAGTGTTATAAATTTAATATTTGTTGGGGAATGGTCCCTTTTATATGTTTCTAGGGAGAGTAAGTGATATAAATTTAATATTTGTAAAGGAAAAGTATTTTTTATATATTTTTAAGGATAAGTGTTATAAATTTAATATTTATAAAAAAATATCTTTTATACATTTTTAGATGGTACAGTACTAAAATTTTAATTTTTCAAAGGAAGAGTACTATTTGTCCTAATATTAATGACCCACCAGCAACTATTCCAATTTTTGACGAGGAATCAGTGTTCAATGACCTACTGTGATGTTGACTGAAATTCTGTTTTTTTTTTTTTTTTTTTGAATATTTGCAGAAGTTTTAAGATCAATAAGAGATTTGCACCCCGCTCATTACCTATTCAAGATAGAGCATTTCTCTATTCTTTTGGAAGAAGATATTGAAAAATGTGAATCAGATGACTTTGAAGCAGAGGGCTATATGTGGTGTGTTTGAAACTTTGAATTTATTCTATACTATATAGTGTATATACTAATGAAAGAAATTTCGATTTGTTTCAGGAGATTGTCGTTATATCCTAAGGGTAATAAAGGAAGGAATGGAGATGGCCACATTTCACTCTACTTGACCATAACAGATACTTGTCATCTTCCTCCTGGCTGGGAGGTTAATGCCCAGTTTAGATTTTTTATCTACAATCATATAGAGGATAAGTACTTGACCATCGAAGGTAGGTAATTTCTTGATGACATAACTTCAATAGAACTTCCTCTTATTATGTATTGTCTAGTTTCTATCCTGCCCATGGTTCATGTTCTTGTAGATGCCAAGGCGGGAACGAGGCGTTTTCATCAAATGAGAACTGAATGGGGATTTGCCCAATTACTGTCCTTGGACACTTTCAAGCATCCACTCGAGGGGTACCTGTTTGATGATTCTTGCATGTTTGGAGTGGAGGTTTTTGACATTACATATGCTGGCCTAGGACAGATCCTTTCGATGATCAGGGAGCCCAAGAACAACAGCTTTACTTGGACGGTTAAAAACTTTTCCTCACTCATGAATGACCGTGTTTACTCTGAGGTGTTTGAAGTTGAGGGACAAAAATGGTAGGGTTGGACTATGTTTGCAATGAATTCTTGTACGAAATGCTTTGCTTACATTTCCTTGTGTAATTTGTTGGTTTTCGTGCTGAATTTAGGAGCTTAGTGCTGCATCCCAAGGGACATGGAAAAGGAAGAGGAGAATACGTATCCATCTTTCTGAGTGTGGCCAATCATGAAGCACGCCCCCTTAATTGGAAAGTGTATGCAAAATATAAGCTTCGCATAAGGTGTTCCTCCGTGTTTCCTCATGTTGAGAAAGTCGGTGAGTGGCATTCTTACTTTCCGTCCCAAATATGATTACCGTGGACATGTAGTAAAAGCTTTTTCCTTTTTATTTAACGCTTTGGTTTCAGTCATTATATTGTTTAACTACAAGTACAACCATCCAATTTTCTTTTACAGCTAGATGCTGGTTCTGCTCTTCGATTCTTAGCAGGGGATTCAGCAACTTCATGTTGCTGAGTGTGTTGAGAGACAGATGTTATTGGTTTTTACCGGGGGATACTTTGATTGTTGAGGTAGAGATTATGGTCATGTCCGCAACTAAGAATTTGCCATAAGAAATGCTTATTACGGTATCTAGTGAACTATATGTATGTTTCGGTTTTTAATCATTGAAGCTTTGGTTGGAGCCATGTATGATGTAGACGGGGGAAGAGCTTCCTGGCTTTTAATTTACTGAAATCATGAATTATACCAATATTTGAAACTTACAAGCAAGTTTGAATCTCTCTATCTTCCTTCTTTTATGCGAGGGTGGTGTGGGCTTTTCTGAGTCCTATAATCTCAAAATACAAGGCCAATTGCAACCCTCTGTACCTTACTGTTTTTTCCTGTTTCATTTTCGTTCTAGGGTTGAACCTGGAATTTGCACTAGTTCCCAAGCTCACCAGTTTTACCCTGCAATTGGTTCCAAGGTAGAGAGCTGTTTGGGTTTCTTTTAATACCAAAACAAAAGCCAAAATATAAAAAAAGAAAGCTGTATTTTTTTAACTTTCACGGAATTTTACTTGTGATTTAATAAATCATTGTATATAAAAAGATATACATATCAGCAGATTACATATTTGTATTTATTATTTACCAAAATTTTATCAAGAGAAGGTAATAAATTGTTACTTTTCTTTGTTAATATGAGTACATGTTTATTTAAAAATTTTATTATTAACGAAAATAAATATAGAAGTAACAATGTTTGAAAAATGTGAAAAATGAGTGCAATTTTTCCCAATTGTTCTCCTATTATAGTTTAGTAATACATGATAATTAATAAATCTCGTAAAATCTCATTATTTTTTTATTAAGTATTATCACAAAAACTCTCTTTAAATTAAATAAATAAAAGGAAAAAGGCTGTACCATCAAAGGGAAGCAGAGATCCGTCAACCTCTCCCCGTTCTGATTGCACGAAAACCAGACCCTATAAATAAGATTTAAATTGCTTTGAAAGAAATATTAACAAAGATAAAATAGTAGTTGTAAATTTCACATGAGTTCTTACTAAATATTTCCTTTTAGTACTCGCCTAGGGTTAATCTGCATGGAGCACCAGGGGCAATAGCCAGAGCCCAAGGTGACGCTATTAAATTAAGGGCAGCCCACAAGTATAGTTTTTAGTAGGTTTGGTTTTAATTCAAATTTAATTTAAATTTGATTTAAATTTAATTAAAATATTTGATATATTAAATTTAATTATAAATATTTATAATATAAAATAAGTGAATTGAATTTTTTAAAAATTTGAATATGAATTTAAATAATATTTTTATTAAATTAATGATCTTATATATTTAATATTAGTAAATTCAAATTTGTAAGAACTAAATTAGAAAAATCAAAAATTTGAGAGATTGATTGAATAGAGTTGAAAATTTTAAAAATAAAATGATAATATTTTTTTATTGAATCAAATTTTTTTTATCAAATTTTAAATTTTTCATTAATTTATCTAATTTGATACAAATCTAACTCATTAGAATTTTACTATCTTCACATAATTCCAATTACTACTATTAATTTTAAGAATTTGTTCCGAAAATTTACACCAAAAAAGACTTTTTTTTTTTTTTTTTTTGAGTTTCTCGTCAGCTTAACTGTTGTCCTTAGTTGTCTGTTGGGCTCGGGTTGAGAGGGACCCCGAGCAAGGTGGGCCAGGCCAGTTGAGTGGGCTAGCATAGGCGGGTCTGAGCCGCGGCTGAGCCGGCCGAGCCACTGGGCTGACGGCTTAAGCCGAGCTGCGGCTCAAGCAAAAAAAAAAAAAAACAGAGAGAGAAGGAAGGGTTTAACTGAACCAGCCATGGGCTTTGACTGGCCGGTTCAGTGGCCATTTTGGCTTGGAATTGGGAGGTTGGACTGATTCTGGGTTCGGGGGGATGAGGGCTATCAGACCAAGTGGATTCGGGAAATTTTGGGTGCTCGGTTCGAGGTGAATCGGCCGGTTTAGTGTATTGACGCTCGGGTGACCGGTTCACTGGTTTTCAGGCCGGTTCTTGGGGAGTTTGGACCGGTTCCTGGTTCAACATGATAAAACCTAACTAACCACGAAATTTGGTGATTTTTGGAGGTTTGGTTCAAGGTGAACCAGTCTCGATTTGCATGCTAGTGATTAGGGTTTGAGTTCTTGGCGGTTCAGAGCTGGTTTGAGCCCTTTTCGGCGGTTCATAGTGGTTCCTAGGGTTTTTGGGCCTTCTAAATCCGATTTTGAGGGTTTCGTAGCCATTCGAGTTGAGTCGGAGCTAGTTTTGAACCAGGTCAAGTTGGTTCGAGGGTTTTAGAGACCGATTCGTTGTGGTTCGGGGTTTGTGGGGGTTGGTTTCGTAGTGTTAAGGGAGGTTAAGTAGATTTGTTCAGTGTTACTGAGTCGCATAGGTTTTGGTGACAGGTTGTGTTGCCTCGAGATGCGTGCCAAAGGGGGCTAATTTGGGATTTGAGTCCGGTTTGAGGCTACCGAGCCTGTTTCTTGTGCCGGTTTCGGCGATGGTGATGATTTTGTGTGATTTTGGTTATAGATACGCCGGTGGAGGTGCGTCCAAATCAGTGGGACGGGTGAGCGCGATTGGGAGTCCCTTTTGTTCAGCCTTGTACAATGAGTGATGATACCCTCTCTATGCTTGTTTTTCATACTGTGATTTTCTGACATGATGATTATGTGATTTGAAAACTGTACTTTGATTATACGTTATACTCGGGATATGTGTTATGTATTTTGTGAACTGTCAGTGAGCTATGTTAGTATGTGATACTTGTTTGAGATGTGAACTACATATACGTATGTATACTTGTTTTTGAGTACATGTGAGGATGGTATCATGTGATGTGAGGCGGCAGAGGCCGCGGGTGGCAGAGGCCGCGGATGTGATATGCACTCGTGCGATTCCTCCGATCGTCGAGATGGTGGGTTCTCCGATCGTGAGAAGACGAGACAGGGGTCTCGTGATGTGATGTGTACGGGATGGCAGGCTCAGTCGACGGACGGTGGACCATAGCGTACGGGAGTACCTTAGCCGGCGATGAAAATGAGTTGTGTGGCTAAGGGCTCAGCCGGCGAACGGTGTGCTACTGTTGCGTGCGGGGAGTATACTGGCCCAGTGATGTGATGCGTACGAGATGGCAGACTCAGCCGACAGACGGTGGACCCTAGCGTACGGGGAGTACCTTGGCCCGATGGTGAGATAAGTTGTGTGGCTAAGGGCTCAGCCGGCGAACGGTGTTCTATCGTAGCGTGTGGGGAGTACACTGGCCCTGTGATTGATGCGATGTGATGATTGATTACCTTGATACCTCACATATGTGTTTTGATTACTGCTCACTGTGTATATATGTGTATGTATGATTTGTACTTGTAGCGTAATGCATATCCCAACATGTATAGATTAGGTATCATCCGTACTCACTGAGTTTCGCGACTCATAGTTTTAAACATTCCAGATTCATTTGACTGTACTCGCCTTGGTTAGAGCGCCAGTGTGGGAGATAGCGACTACGGATTTGATCAATGTACGGGCACTTCTCTTTTATATCTATCATTTATTGTATTCTAAAGTAGCTTCCTTGTACTCTCAGACAAGATCCCGGGTGATTTTTGGATGTTATATTATTGCACTTTGTGTATGTTTTATATCTTTGGAGTTCGACTGGTTTTGTTGAGGCCTACTGGGGTCGGTGGATCCCAGTGCCGGTCACGGACCCGGGGTTCGGGGCATGACAACTGGATGGTGTATTTAGTTTTCTTACTTCTAATTGCTTTATCCTGCTTTAAGATATATTTAATTCTAGTGTACTGGTCTCTTGATATCAGTATAGTTCAGCATTCACAGCACATCTTGGAGGAAAGATTGACTAAACATGGAAAAGCAGGCCCGCAAAGATCCTGCAATTGGTATGTGAAAGTGAAGCATTACCAGCTATCTTTTGATATTCATATGGTTACATAAGTAAATTTCTGTTCATCATAATAGTAATTACCCACCCGTAGCTACCCAGTTTTGGACAAGGAATCAGTATTCAATGACCTATTGTGATGTTGACTGAATTTTGTTTTTTTTCTGGGAATATTTGCAGAAGTGTTAAGATCAATGAGAGATTTACACCCAGCTCATTACCTATTCAAGATAGAGTATTTCTCTGTTCTTTAGGAACAAGATATTGAAAAATGTGAATCAGATGACTTTGAAGCAGGGGGCTATAAGTGGTGTGTGTGAACTTTGAATTTCTTCTATACTGTGTAGTGTAAATACTAGTGAAAGAAATTTCGATTTGTTTCAGGAGATTGTCGTTATATCCTAAGGGTAATAAAGGAAGGAATGGAGATGGCCACATTTCACTCTACTTGGTCATAAGAGATACTTGTCATCTTCCTCCTGGTTGGGAGATTAATGCCCAGTTTAGATTTTTTATCTACAATCATATAGAGGATAAGTACTTGACCATCGAAGGTAGGTAGTTTCTTGATGACATAACTTCAATAGAACTTCCTCTTATTATGTTTTATTTAGTTTCTATCCTACCCACGGTTCATGTTCATGCAGATGCTAAGGCGGGGACAAGGCGTTTTCATCGAATGAGGACTGAATGGGGATTTGCCCAATTACTCTCCTTGGACACTTTCAATCATCCACTCGAGGGGTACCTGTTTGATGATTCTTGCATGTTTGGAGTGGAGGTTTTTGTTATTAAATATGCTGGCAGAGGACAGATCTTTTCGATGATCAGGGAGCCCAAGAACAACAGCTTTACTTGGAAGGTTAACAACTTTTCCTTACTCAAGGATGACCATGTTTACTCTGAGGTGTTTGAAGTTGAGGGACAACAATGGTAGGGGTTGGACTATGTTTGCAATGAATTCTTGTACGATATGATTCGCTTACATTTCCTTGCGTAATTTGATGGTTTTCGTGCTGAATTTAGGAGATTACTGTTGAATCCCAAGGGACATGGAAAAGGAAGAGGAGAATACGCATCCATCTTTATGAGTGTGGCCAATCATGAAGCACGCCCTCTTAATTGGAAAGTGTATGCAAAAATAGATATACATATCAGAGATTACATTTTTATATTTATTATTTACCAAAATTTTATCAAGAGAAGGTAATAAATTGTTACTTTTCTTTGTTAATATGAATACATGTTTATTTAAAAATTTTATTATTAACGATAATAAATATAGAAGTAATAATGTTTGAAAAATGTAAAAAATGAGCTTGATTTTTCCCAAGTGTCCTCCTACTATAGTTTGCATAATTGTTGAATGACAATTTTGATAGTAAATTAATTATTTTCTCAAAAAAAGTTTTTTAAAGATTTTATTTCCTACCAATTTTTGCCAAATCCGTTCTTTTCTTCCACAAAAAACCACATGATAGTGAATAAATCTCGTAAAATCTCATCATTTTTTTAATTATTTGTCACCAAATATCATCACCATATTAAATAAATAAAAGGATAAAAAAAAAGGTGTAGTATCAAAGGGAAGCGGAGATCCATCAACCTCTTCCTGTTCTGATTACACGAAGACCAGACCCTATAAATAAGATTTAAATTGCTTTCAAAGAAATATTAATAAAGATTAAATAGTAATAGTAAATTTCACATTAGTTCTTACTAAATTAAAAGCAATCTTCACATATAATTCTCAATTAGTTAAATTTTAATTTAAATCTAATTTGGAATTGATTCAAATTCGATTAAAAAATTTGATAAATTAAATCTAATTATAAATATGGTAATATGAAAAATATGAATTGGATTCTTTCAAAATCTAAATATGAATTTTAATATATTTTTTATTAAGTTATTGATCTTTTATATATATAATATTAGTAAATTCAAACTTGTAGGGACTAAATAAGAAAAATTAAAAATTGAGAGATTCATACGATTGATGGAGTAAAGTTGAAATATTTAAATGTAAAATAGTATTATTTTTCTATCAAATTTGATTTTTATATCGAATTTCGAATTATATGTCGATTTATCTAATTTAATCTAAATCTCACTTATTTATAACCCTAGCGCCTTCACATAGTTCCAATTATTACTATTAATTTGAAGGATTTGTTCCAAAACTTTGCACCAAAAAAGACTTTTATTAACATTTTCTTAAAATTTTCTTCATGAATATTGAGAAGTTCTAGCTTCTTAGAAATAAAAATTTTAAATTTTAAATCACATAAAATCACATCAGTTAATTATCTAAAACAGTCTCGGGAAAGAAGAAATGAAATAGTAATTAAAACTAACTAAAAAAAAGAGGGAAAGATAATGAGAATTAGACAGGGCTCACAATGGGTCGGGTTAAGTTAGAATTAGATAAATTTAGATCTAAATCTAATTAATAATTTTTATATCTGAATCTAATTCAAAATATTATATAATTTGTGTTGGTTAAATCAAATACAATTTGAAGTTTAATAAAAAAATTCGATTCGAAAAAATTAATAATACTCAATTTAAAAAAATCTCATATTTTTGGAAAATTATCTTGAGAAGTCCCCTCTTATAAATGGAGACATTTTCCATTAAAGAAAGATGGGAAAAAAATTTGCAAATACTTCAAAAACTAAAACTTTTTTAGAGAAATTCTACAGTTAGATAGAGAAAGGGGGAAAGTGAAAATTTTCAACCTCTGTTAACCGAACAACCCTATCAACTTGACAACAAGGAGTTTCGTAGAAATTGCAGTCCCAATCGCTTCTAGCAATGGCACTGAGATTTTTCTAGTTTACCACCAAAGTCTCTTCATTAACAATGGACGAAAAATTACATTAGATTTGTTGAGATAATTATTTTTAAAATTTCTATACGAATCAAAGGTGCTTGATTGAAGGGCTTATAAGCTAGGCCTCATATTTGGAATTAGGCATTGGTTGGTTAAAAATTTTTAAATCTTTAAAATCCCTCAAGACCTTTTGAGAAGGGCTTTTATTAAAATTTGTTTGAGTGTGTTTCAAAATAGTTATGCAGAGTTTCTCTCATATTTCTTACTTTTTATTTTTTTTGTTAATAAATTGAATATATACATATTTGTACTTTTTTGAATAAAAATAGTGATTTTTTGAATTTTTTAAAAAATGTTAAAATATCTGTCAATTTTAAAATAATAATAAAAAAAAGGGAACCATGAGATTAAAGAAAAACTGTGCAGAAAAAGTTATGGCGTGGGGAAACACCTTCCTTCCTGAAGACATTGACATCCCACCTTCTCCTGCTGTGGCGTCCGCTTGAGCCACATGTCGAGTATTGGCAACTACCTCATGGTAGGATTTTGGAGCCTCGTGCCTCCTACGCTTATTAAACCTCTTCCCTTAGCTCACTTATTCTTGGATAACGAGGCCCACCTTGCTCCATTGGGTCTCTCCCTTTTTTCTCCTTTGTGTCATGAAGATCCTAAGTTCATTGAACTCTTAAAATAAGTGCCAACTGTCTGAATGGAAGATGAAGAATCAGCAGTAAATTTGATGGGGCGATGGATCTGTCAAATAAGGCAGTTCTACTTAAGATGGTGATGCAATCTGTCCTCTTGCATCTACTCCATCTTTGGAGCCTAGTTTGAAAATAGAAAGATTACGACTCTTTTTCTTCCCCCTGCCCTGAACTTTGTGGGTTAGTTTTCAGCTCAAGTTGTACTCGTTCAAATCCTTTCAAATCTTTGCGGGTCATTGGTGCCCGGTTTTATTGTCCGATCAATTATCCAAAATTTCTTAATTTTTTTGGTTTTTATTTTATTTTGTGTATGGGAAAATACTAAAAATGTTGAAAACACTTGTAATTGTTATATTTTCTAATCTCCTTGAAACAATTGCCAAATGGGTTTTTCTATTTCCAAAAGTAGAGCACTGTTTTCAAAAACAATTCCAAACCAACTGCTCCACAAGTTTAACGATCCCAATTCAAAAGTTTAAGCTAATTCGTGTTAGAATAATACTAATTACCACATATATTATCATTATTTAATTTGTTTTAGTGTTTATTTGTTAGCTTAGAGAGTATCTTCTCTTTTCCCTATAATGGAAAGGAACCAAGTAGATGTTGAACGTAGAATTGATAAACCAAAAATGGAAGTCTCTCTCCTTGTTTCTTAATCAGTGATTTGGTTCCCTGTAAAGCATGACCGCAGGTCACATGCTGATTTTTTAGTAGGCAAGTCATTTTCTATGTTTACTAATCACTATGCGATTTCTCAGCTCCCCCCAACCCCCACCCCCCAACCCCCCCACCCTCACCCCCCGGGAAAAAAAAATAAATAAATAAATAAATGAGCTTGTATTGTATTAATGTTCTGTAGGAATTCTCGCCATGAGGGTTTAATTGCAAAAGTGTTTCATGGCGGTGAGTGATTTATAAATAGTTTTAAGTATTTGGCAAATCGGTTTTAGAAAAGTCCAATTCGGACCCATTTAAGTAGCCTGTAAATTGTTCTCAATTTTCGTCGTCCACCGAAGAAAGACCGTGCGAAGAGAATTTGGCAGGGCTAGGATTGAAAATTTGAAAATTCTAAGTTTTTCAACGTGGTTTTCAAATTTATTTATTTCGCAAAATAAGATCATAATTTTAGTAAGTTACCTCACCATCATTTGCAATTACATACCTTGATACTCTTATAAAAAATATAACTTTGATTTTTATTTATTTTATAATTATTTTTACAAATATTTAGAATTTAATGAAAATAAGTAAATTTTTAATTATTTTGATATAATAATTTATACAAATTTATATAAGATAAGATGAGATTGAATCAAAATATTAATAATTAATAATGCTTATAGGGCGCTTGTTGGTTCATTAATTAGATAAGATGCCACAGAATATGTAAGAGTACCTTTTTTTTTTTAATTAAAGAACTTTCTCCGCCAAAAATTGTTTAGTATCTCCAAAACCATTTTTATAAAATTGTTTTTCAAAAGGGCTTCTTTGCAAAATACTTGTTTTGACCATTTCTGTTTCCTTAAATCCACTTATTCTTGGAAATTATTTTTATTAAAGTACCGGATTGAATACATTCACAAATTAATTTTCCTTTAGTCCCCCGTTTTGTTAAAAATTATTTTCTTGAGCAACACTTAATTTGAAGTGAATTTTATGAGTTATAACGGGCCAAATCTTATTTTTAAATTTTTTCGCATTGTTTTTTAATTAAAAATATTCAACTTCTTTTTTCCTTTTATTTTAAAAATTTTTCTTTTCTATCCCCAGATAACAATAGTGTTAAAATTGGGGTAGAAATAAATTAAATTATTTATAAGTTACTTGTGATCTAACTCTAGACCAAGCTAAAAAAATTAATTTTTTTATTTAAATAAGTTTAACTTGACTATATTTAACCTAATTTGTAAGTCTAATAGATTGACCTATATAATTAATTATATATAAAATAAATTTTGAATATTATAAAAATAGTATATTATATGATGATATATATAATATTTTTATAATTTAAATAGATTTGATGTAATAAAGTAACAATTGAGCCAATTGTTAATAGTTTTACCAACAAATTAGGTCAAAGTTATAAAATTACTACGAGGTGTTTAGTATAAAAAATTTTCAAGTTTAAAGATATTTCAAAACTTGTGAATTTATATTTTGATAGAAAGAAAAAAAAAACTAAGGATTAAAATCTTCAAACTCTAAATTAGAATTTTGAAAAAGCTTGAATCCAAGAATTTTAAAATTATAATATTGAAGTTATCAAATATTTTTATAAATTTTAAAATATTAAAATTTATAAAAACTCACAATTCTTATAATGCAAAAGGGCCGTTGAGAATCTCTGCACTTTTATTTTTGCAGTCAATTGTACAATCTCGTAATTAAGAA